CTTCAGGTGCCTCCACCTGCTCTGGCATGGGGTCCTCCACGGGCTGCAGGTGGAATCGCTACACCCCCTCATCCTCCCTCCATGGGCTGCAGGGGGACAGCCTGCTTCACCATGGTCTTCACCACGGGCTGCAGGAGGATCTCTGCTCCGGCGCCTGGAGCACCTCCTCCCCCTCCTTCTTCACTGACCTTGGTGTCTGAAGAGTTTCTTACATCTTCTCATTCCTCTTTCTCTGGCTGCAAAACCTCTGGGTTTTTTTTTCCTTCTTAAATATGTTATCACAGAGGCGCTGATTGGCTTGGCCTTGGCCAGCGGCAGGTCTGTCTTGGAGCTGGCTGGCATTGGCTCTATCAGACACAGGGGAAGCTTCTAGCAGCTTCTCACAGAAGCCACCCCTGTACCCCCCCACCCCCGCTACCAAAACCTTGCCATGCAAACCCAACACAGTTTTGCAAATAACTTTTACACAAAAATGGTCATTTTTTTGAGGAAATAATTCTTTGGAGCTATTCAGAGCATATTAAAATAAGGCCAGACCTGGAGGCCACAGAGATGATAACAGATAACTAATAATCATTCCTGCAGCCAGCAAAGGAGCAGGACCATCCATTACCCTGTCCCAGGCACTCTCATCAAGGGCCGGACACTGAGTTCTCAGCCTCAATATAATTAGGTTTGCTTTCCAGAAGGGGCACACGGGGTGACCCCACGTACATGCTCCCATTCGCAGGATCATGCGCAGCAGAGCTGTAAGCCCGTAACCATGTCCATAGGCACATGCTCCTTACACACTGCTGCACCCTGGGCTCAGACTGGTGGAAACACCTTGGGATGGGCCCCTGCCTGCATCCAGGATGCTCCCCTGAGCATTTTTAAGACTTGTACAAACATACAGGTAGAATCAATGGATGGTGTGAGTACTGCTGCACAAAGTCAACACGGTGCTCCACTGCAGGTGCTGTTTTTGAACCTCTGGCCAGGCTCCGTGGTATGCCAGGAGAGGGGCAGGTCACTGCAGAGCAGCAGCCTAAGACTTGCAAGCTTTAGGTGTTATTTCCTCTGCCTGCCCATCCCCCTGGTGAGGATAACAGCTTCACCGGGGAGAGGGCTGCAGAGCTTGACTGCAGCATGAAAGGGGCTGTATGAAGCAGTATTGAGAGAAACAGGCTCCTCTCTTATCTGCTCCAAGGAGATCAGAGAGTTAAACAAAACTCCTAGCTCCCTGTTGTTATTTAGAGGCAAATAATTAAATGCAAGAAGTGATGGGCTAAACCCGCTGGGACAGGAAAAAAAAACCACTCCCAAACTTCAGCAGCCTGCCTTTGTGGAATGAAACCCTCTGCCCTGCTCCTAGAAGAGTCCTGAAGAGCAGCTCTGGAGAACCCAACTGAAAAAGAGGCTTTTTAACACCATTGTTTGGCTTCTCAGCAATCCAACAGCCCCGGCAGCCAGTTAATTGCTCACAGGCCCCGAGGAAATGAATCTTCATCACCAGACACTTTCTTACATCTGTGTAAAGTGAGGGTAAATGGCACAACGCAGCTGGCTGGTGCTCAGCCGACCCAGCACTACTACAAGGTAAATAACCGTGTTAAACTGGAAGGAGGAGACTCATCAGCACTAGGTAGGTCTGGGTCATCCTTCTCATGGCATCTTTCCAGCTGCACAGGACCAGGTCCTCTCCACAGCCCTTCCCATCACCTAGGACCCAACAAAAGCCCAGCATTTGGGCTCAGAGCACGCCTGCAGCACCCCAATTCCCCAACTTCTTGGAGGCTCCTGTGGTTTACTGCAGAGCAGCAGCAGACCCTGCAGAGCAGCCGGTTGTCCACGGCCAGGCCAGAGCAGCAGCAGCCCCTGCAGAGCAGCCGGTTGTCAACGGCCAGGCAGCAGCTCTGTCCTAAGCTCCAGCCTTTGAAGGCTTACATGTTAGCCTTAGAAATTCCTTCTAGTTAATACCTGGCACAAGTGCTTTGGGTTGGGAAAACACTAATTTCTACCAAATTTGGAATAAGTCTCTGTAGATGTTTCTACACTGCAGGAAATGGAGAAGAATTAAAAAAGAGCTACTATTTTTTGTAAACAACACTTAGAGGGCCTTCTTCAACTTGAAAAGGACTTTACTATTCCAACTGAAATTTTGCATGTCATTAATACCAGCCACCCCAGCTTGGTGTGAAGCTTTGTCCTACTTTTTTATCAAAACAGAATTTGTTTAATTCCAAAAGGGGGTTCTACAAACAGAACATTTTTATTACCAACAACAACAAAAAAACCCCCAACCATACAGCACAAGGCCATGATCCTGCAGACAGAGCTGTGAGCAGAAACCAGTGGCCACACAGAGTGCTACTGGTTTCAATGAGGATATGTATTTGCAAGGAACTGAGAGCTAGAGAGATGGTGCTGCTAGAGCGAAGGCTGTGCAGTGCAGCATGGCTGTCAGACCTTCTAGGGCTCCAGGAAGACTAAATGAATCACTGCTGCACTCTGATTCAAAACCACACCTTCAGTCTAGCTCCTTCTTGCCATCACTTTGATCCTGAGCAACCACCACTATGTTTCACCAGGACTGGTTAGAAGCCACAGCTGAGTTGGGTTGGCCTCTCCAACACCACAGTAGGTTCTTCATCTCTGACAATAAATTTTAGGAGCCAATGATGTGACGGAGTGTCGCAAAACATTCCCAGTTTAGACACCCAGCTATGAAACAGCTGTCAAGATGTCTTGCTCTAAAGTGATGGGCACCTCTAGCATCCTCTGAACTCCAACACTAGTAGGGGTGATCCCTTCTTCTACACTTCCATCACAACACCCACAGTTCTCAATACTTCTCAGCAACACATATACTCTTGAAGACCAGTTTCAGCTCTAGGAAAGCCACTAGAAGGACAAAGGAACTGCCATTATTCACTTCTCAGTACCAGCTGCAACCCAGCAGGGAAAACAACAGGAAACTGGTAGCAGATCTGCCATGTGGATACTGGGCTGGGGACAAATAAGGACAACTCCACTTTATTCCTAGGCCACCCAGGTATACAATACAAGAAAATGAGTCAGGCCCCTAAGTTTCAGATGAGCATCTCTATGCTAAAAGGTAGTTTTGCTGGGGTGACTATCTGTGGCTCCAGCACATCAAATGCTCGGCACAGGACTGTCCCAGTGTCCTGCCCAGAGACCTGCTGAGACACATTCCAAGCTGAGCGTCGCACCAAAAAGTGCCATCCTAGCACCTGGAGTGGGCTGCTGTGTGTGTTGGGAAGGGGCATGGTGCTCAGAGACTGAGTCTTGTCAGTAAGTGGTGCTGAGCCTGCTGGGACCAGTGCAGCCATGCTGTTGTAACCGGAGGAGTCTGTTGCTGGGGCTGTTAATTCAGCAGTATTGACTCCAGGGAAGGCACATTCCCACCCTGCCCCAGGTGGCACACGAGCCTGCAGCCAGGGAATCACTACCCAGCAACAGACTCTGCTGCTGGCCTTGGAAACACGCTAAATATAGCCATATTTTCTGGCTCCTCACAAAATGGAAGGA